CATTTGACCTAATCTAATTCTAACTCATTTTTGCAATAACACTCAAGCTAACTGTGATGGATTTGCTTCATTATTTTATCAGATTGATCCTCGCCATCGGTACGGACACAATTTGCCTTTTCTACCACAATGTGTGGTCTAATTGGTAACTGGTAAGTTTGCCTCATGAGGAAAAACTTTTCCTATGATACAGTTTTATATAATATCACCTTTTTACTATTTACCACCAACGCTATATATTATATTAACCTTTTCCTTTTACCTCCCCTGCAGCATGAAGGCTGGATGTTGGCGATAGCAAATGCACAAACCTCGACAAGTGTCCAAGAAGTCCTGGTTTACAACGTCAGTGCATTCAATATCTTGGACCAGTAAGGACTTACAACTGCGTACTCATATACTTCATTACTTAATTATAGTTAAAGCAACCGTTCTTCTCTGAACATGACGTTCGTTCTTTATTGAATAACATATTGTCGATAACATTGACAGATAGCATACCAATAGAAAATGTACAGATATTATTCATAGAAACATAGACATTACCGTTACAAAATCCGTCGCTAATAAATTTTTATTTTTTTATTTTAATTTTGTATTGCAGAAAGAGAGGGAGGCATATGAAGTGATCGTGGAGAATGAGAAGCTTGCCCACACGCAGAGTGGAATGCTTGTTGACACAGTTGAAGAGTCAAAGTGGATTTTTGTGCTCAGCACATCAAGATCTTTATATAAAGGCCAGAAAAAGAAGGAACTTTTCAGCACTCAAGCTTTGTTTCTGAAGGGACTACGACCAAACATGATCATATATATATTCATCACCATCCTTAGCCGAAATCATGTTGCACATGAGTAATTGTAATAGTTATCACAAACTCTGCACGATAAGCATTCACCATCCTTAGCCACGCAATTATTCACTTGTACATATGTAAAATTTCTTTAATACGGTCATATTATCATGGAAATGTCTAAAAATTTAGAGAAAGAAATGGAATTTTTTTTTTTGGGGGGGTTTGGAATCTAATGTTCGACAATCTCTAAAGTTTCTTTTTAAATTTGTATCATTTCTATCGAAAGCAATAAATATCAATATCGATATTTTGATATATCCACAAATATTTTCACAAGTTTGCATATTGATATTTCTACCTATGCTTGTATTTTAAACAGTACGTGCTCATGCATTTAGCATCCAATTTGAAATACTTCGCTGAGAATAAGCCCAGGTGGATTTCATGCAACCAATACCACGGGCAATAAGGTTCCATTTGAATCCAACTTTTATTAAATTCAAATTCAATTGATGATCATCTCAGCTTTGTCTCCCTTTTGATTTGATCAGCCATGTTCACGTGCAGGCCTATCTCGTTGCCAATTATCCATAACTCACGCTGTCTTTCTGAAGTTGGACTCTAGATCCCCACGTGCATGAATTGCATGTAGAGTAATCTTCAACCACAGGGAAAATCCCTAACAGATCCGTGAATCCTTGATTTCAATCTGGAATCTTCAAGTTCATCAAAATATTTTCACAAGATAATTACTACAATAATTCAATAATAATACCGGGATTGTTATTTGCACTCCAAAATAATCATTTTGTATTCCCAACTTTCTATATTTGAAAAGAAAATACACTTGCGAGGAGTGTAAAATGAAATTTTTGGAATGACAATAATAGTTCTCATAATATTTTAGAAAAAATATTAAAATTGAGCTGCCTCAATTAAACGAGCTGAAGGTGCAAAATCGGGTCCAAACAGTTTCCTAGAGCAGGTGTAAATTTTGGCCGCATGCCATGGTCATCAATCATCATCTCAATAACGAAGGTGTCACTTTCCACTATAGTTTAGATTTATTTCCTTATCTATTTATGATTAGGTATATATGCACCAGTAGAATTGGTTACAAATTTTATAAACAAGTATAAAACAAAAAGACATTAAACCCTAATTTACATACGTTTTATTATTTGTTTAGCGTTCCTTGCGGCTACTAACTTTTTGTCAAGGAAACAATATCCATTTACAAGTCTCGGAGTATTTTTTTAAAGAGAAACGACATCTTTCATCAGTGAAATGGGCCAATGTAAGATTCCTCCTCCACTTGGAGACAAATGTTTCGACCAGTTGCATCGGGCCCCAGACTCTCATGCTGATGATCAGTTGGACTAATGGAGTCACAGCGATCATCTATTGCACACATCTATAGAAGACCAACATTAGCTATTCGTTGTTGTTTCTATAAGCGATATCGGGGGAGCGGATTCAAATATAATTGCTCGCGAGTAAATGTTTTTAACCAGTTGAACTACAAACTCGTTCTATAGAATGAGCTATTTTAGTTTTATTTTGGACGCATACTAATAACCATTGTAATATTAAGGGAGTTGAATGTAATCTTGAGTTAATTACCTTGACATTGGTTAAGTCTACTTGGTGATCCTCCAAGAAGCTAATGAATTCTTTGAAATTGTCTACCGTTGGGAGATAGTGATCATTGTCTGGCCACATAGCCTGAAGAGTTACAAGACAAGGAATTTAATTAAGCTAAACAATTGAAGTGTAAAAGAAATAAATCAGTATTTATGAAAATTCCATAAAACGAAAGACAGGAATGTCGATAGACATTCATGATCCGCTTTGATTATTAACTCCAACATAAGGCACTGAACATCTTATCACTTATCAATGCATTTTTGACAATATCGATACGCTTATGTTTCTGAGCAGAGAATGGTTAATGTACCTCGAGAACCCCATTGTGGGCGACTATCTTCCGGCTGCAGTTGCAGCCCCTCCGGACAGAAAGCTAGAGTGCTGAAAAATACCTTCCTTTTTCTGCCCTACATATAAGTCCCTTGATGTGCTGAGAACAAAAATCCACTCAGAGCCTTCAAATGTGTGAACAAGTATCCCAGTTTGCCTGTGCATAAGCTTTCCATTTTGTACAATCACTTTATATGTCCCCCTCTCTGACTGCAATAGAAAATGAAAAAGAATGCGCGATGGATTTTGTATCGATAATATCTGCCTTTCTGCAACATAAAATCTACAGTCTTCCCCTACAATATTTTGATTTGTAAGTTTAAGTCCTTACTGGTCCAAGATATGTGATGCATTGACGTTGCAGATCGATCCTCGGGCAGTTCTCGAGATTTATATCTTTACCCTCACCAACATCCAACCTTAAGTTCCAGGTGAGAAAAAACAGATTGTCAATGTTGCCATGGCAACAGAAGAAACCAAAAAGCTAATCATTTATCATACAAATTAAACTGTCGTAGAAACCAAAAGGTTTTCCTCAGGCAAACACACAGAGACGGACACTTACCAGTACAAGAAAGGTTGGCTGGTATTGCAATCCGACCAGATTTCGCGGTATAACTGCAAATTGTCTCCACACCGATGGAATGGATCAATCTGATAAAAAGATGGAGCAATGAAAAATTATTGCATCAAAAACTTCAAAACAAGATCAAGAAATTTAAAGGTAGATATATAGACTCACAGCTTCAAGCCAGTACTGAGGAGCTAGTATCTGAGTCTTCTCGTCCTTGCACAAACCCTTCCCTATCTACAGAACACACAAAACTTATGCAGTTAATTTTGAATTAACCTCCACAAATCACATCTTAATTCGCAATCTGATTCACATATATATGTATACCAGTATATATACAGACATATATATGTGTGTGTGTCACCAAAAATTACCTTGGCAGCCCTTGTCCTAGACCATGTCCACCGTGACACAGCAGTTTCGTTTTCCTCCGAGTTGAAGAAAGATATCGAGCTTTGTTTCAGAGCTGCAAAGTCCACGGCCTTCCACCTGCAACAATTAGACAAACATAATAAACAAGGGATTTCTTGTACACCAAGGAACAAAGGTGTAACAATGCATGACATGGGTTTTTTGAGGTGCAATCACAAACCATAATTCCTCAACCACAACAGCTGCTTCTGCAAGGTTACGTCTAGTCCTGTAACCCTTATACACTTTCTGAAACTTAGTTGCTGCAGCATCGAGCTCACTAACCAAAAATGTTTCAGGTTTTCCATCCATTGGAGAGCTCAAAACCAAAATAACCTTCAGAGGCCCTAGCTCTTCCTTTATCTCCGAAGACAATACATACATATCTAGAAGACGTTTATGTCCATATATATGCTAGCAGACCGACTGGCTGCAAGCATAGTTGTTTGAAAATCAACGTTCATCGCACGGAGTTTCAAGGAAGTTAAAAGCACCTATATTCAATGGCGGGCTTAAGCTTAATGTGAGATTAAATAAATTTGACTCATGACTTCTGCTGTCTCTCTTGAATCAATTCCATCTTTTGGGTAGGTAATATAATCTACATTAATTGATGAAAATTTGCATTATTTAAACAATAGCATTAATCTAGAGCTTGAACAAATCACTTGTTAGTTTTACATAATCAAAGAACAAATTTCCATTCACACTTGTAGCATAATGTAGCATAACACATTTTGTATAACTAAATTGAAATTGGAAACCGAAACTTAGTAGAACAAATAGGTCTTTGTCCTAATCTCTGTGTCCATCACGGTGATTCTCAATTAATCTTTTAGCCGTATCAAGTAAATATTTTGAGCCGTCGAGCAAATTCTCAAATATTGAATCAGATGCTTCAATTGTTGATTCTGTAGATACCTGATGTTGAAGCTTATTGGCCTTTCTATGTAAATTTTATAGAGCCATTGGAGCTGCTATTAGTTTCTAAATCGTCTCTCCTTGTTTTTTAAAGCTATTTCACCCTAACTGTTTCTGTGCTGCCCATTCAACCAAAAAGCTTGTGTCTTTAGTATCTCAATCCATGAATGTTGCAATCACTGAAGAATTTTGGTCTGTGTCTCGAGAATGATTGATCATCCAGTACCATACGATTCAGTGCAGGATAGGTATTAAGGAAACAGGCAGGCGTAAATTAGGTCAGTAGGTCAGTGTGTTGTATCCCCGCCCCCTTACCCTTAAGATTAAAGTAGTTTAAAATATCGGCTCTCAAAATAATGTATCATGGAAACACTTGAATCAAATACAACCCATCAAAGCATAATGGCCACATAGCTACAAGAGCATCAGAGATTGAAATACAGTAATTAAATGGTAATTAATATTATGACCAAGGTTAAGCTAAATTTTACATGCAAATCAATAATCCAAATGTGTTATAGAATCCACGCTCATCTTGCTCTTCTTCCTTGTACTTCCCGTGCAGTAGATGACTATTGACCACTGGGTTGAAGGAAGTTAAAAGAGAAGGATGTAAGCAAGATATAAATTTGCTTGGACAGATAGAAATATGCACACACACACATACTCTCAGTTCAGAATTGACGAAAAAGAAGCCCGTGATAACTACAGTACAATTTGACGATTTCTACTCATCAAAGAGGTTGAATCTGAATTCGCAATATTTGTATTAGCACCAGATTCCAAGTATTGGGTGGAGTTTGTAAGCTTACACATTCTGAATTTCTGGTTATGCCGCACTAGTCATTGATTGGGCTTTCCGATGGGGCGGAATGTGGAGCCAACCCTTCATCGTGTCATACGCACTAAAACCGATTGCCACAGAAGGAACAATCTGACAACACAGTACAAATCTTTCATTAACAAGACAAATCATGGCCGAAGCTTGAAACCAGCAGAGCTATAATATGAACTGTGAACTCTTAAAGCTATTAACTTTCTACTTCAAATGCAATGGAATAACGGGAAAGATGCATCACAAACCAATGAAAACGTAGGCGTTTTATTTCCCTAAAATCTCTATTGAATCTATCTTTAAGAAAAGCATAAAGAAAAATACATAATTGAAGTATCAACAGAGAACCAAAAACACAAATTTATCCTCACAAAAGTACGCTCAATCAAATCTGAAATTCTGACAAAGTATACTGATTTGACACAATGAGAATAAGAAATCACCTTGATATAGTTAACGCTTAGGCCGGAAAACAACTTTTTCCATCCTTGATTACGGATAATATATTTAAGACCGTCCATCGTGTTTCTGTACCTAACACCACCTTGATCTGAAGAATGCAGATTCTCGACCTGTAACATCCCACATTATATGTGAAAATCCAAACTAAATGTCATATAACCTTATGACTCCGTGATCCTTATTGCAACAAACTTCATTTCACAACAAACATCTAATAATTTAAAAGGCGGAAGGGAGAAAACGAATCTACACTTGCAAAATTATAAATAACATTGACAAAGCGATACCTGCATTTGCCTCCTAACAACATCCAACGGATATGTTAGAGTTTGCCCAAATAACCCAGCCAAAGCTCCACAAGAAAGACGCATCACAATGGACTTTTCATACTCTTCAGGAACATGCAGTTTAAGTTTCTCATATATGTAGAACTTTAAACCAGCATAGGGGAGTATTCCGGTGAGTGTTGGGCCTGATCAAGTAAAAGAAGCTCCAAGTTAATATTAGCTTGTCCATTATATTGCATCACGTATGAATAAACGGCACCTCCAATCAGTAAAGTCTTAGCAGAACACTCAGTTATGAGATACACAGAATGTGGTGACAAATGGTTTTGCCACATCATAATTAGAGAAGCAAATGCATACCTACACCTCGATAGAGACCACGGAAGCCCCCCTCCTTGTAAACACTTGAAAGCACGTCCCTTATGCCCTTATAAACAATTTGATGGTGGGTGCCTTTCATGCCATAATTAATGTTTCCTCGGGTATTAACAACCTGTTAAACCATAACAAAAATAGATTAAACAATGAATCAATGAACTATTACAAAAATCGCTTTTGACACAAAAGAAAAATGTACAGATAAGACATATGCAAGACACTGACCTGATAAGCAAGTTTGGTGCGAGCTAGGTCCAAGGGATAAGTGCATAAAACTGCTGTCCCTCCGGCTGCTGCACCGGCTAAAAGATCAATATGAGGCCCTGATCCTAAAGCAGAATAGTTATTCAAGATCCAACACCTGTACTGCTCATATGTCATGTAATGTAAGGCTGCATAAGGAATAATTCTAGCAACACTTGCTCCATTTCCTCTGAAAAACAGACAAGAAAGTTCGAAAATAATTGTTCTGGTGACATGTATAAAGTTTGATACCGAAACTTAAATAGTAATTGTTCAAGCCTAACTTACTTGTAGAATCCTCGAACACCTTCGTGCTGAAATAACTTCTTCAGAGATTGCCACACTCCGAGAGAGCGGAACTCTGTCCTTGTCTATAAGTACATGAAAACAAATGCAGAAAATAAGCACATAACAACGAGATGCCTAGCATGAAGAAAAGGCAATAGAAACATGTCCGATCAGAATTATTCACAATGAAAAAAATTCCTCAAACATCCATTCACTATATACTAAACTAATTAGCCTCGAAAAACATGAAGCTTGTTAAATGCCTCACCTGCAAGAGTATCTTGGTTCTTTCCAGCGGCGCAACCGCACTTTTAGCGAATCCACCAGCAGCACCACCGGCAATCAACTCCCTAACATAAACCGGCATACTACCAATGTACGAAACCTCTTGGCCGTTTGATGGGGAAGCATCAACCAATTCCGCCACATTAGTAGGCAAGGTAGATCTTTGCGTCGAACCCATCTCAAATTCCTCGAAACAAAACAACCACCAAAGCCAGAACCTTTCGTAAATTCGACAAGTAAGTTATTATCCGCCCTGCAACTTGAAGAACTCCTTATCCCATCTATCTCTCGGAAAACAAAACGAGACGGCCTTTTGCTCAATGGGCAGGTAAAATGGCCTGAGAACACCCCGAATCGAGTCGGGCACACTCAGAAACCGATCCTCCACCGCAGTGATGACAAGATACATTCAAGGATATAAATCTGACCGGGCAACCACACCACCAAAACACTCAAAATTCCCCTTCAATTATTACAGCAATTCTCAATTGAATCAATCACAAACCCCCGAACCAACCGAAAACTATCGAAAAATCCTAGGATCAAACACTCATGAAACATAAACGAAAATCGAAAATCACACGAAACCCATCAAAGGTTTCTCCTTCGGTAAGAGACCCAAAATTCCAAACAACTGAAACCCCTTTAATCCAATCGAAAGACACAGCCTTTTGGTTTGCAAAAAGGAATCGGATTTGTGGGTTTTGTTTGAAACAGGAAATGGAGGAGGAGGAATCGAAGAGGGAATTGGAAACCTACCAGGAATATTCGAATTGGAAGATTCGGGTGAGGGAGAAGAACGGGACGAATGATTTGGAATTTAGCAAAAATATATGATGTTTTCTTTATGGTCCTATGATATTGGAAATGAATGAATCAAAGTGCCCGTCTCCTTTCGGGAGGAGAAAGGAGACGGAGAGGTTTCCTCGGACTTTCTCAGAATCCTCTGTCGACAGTAACCTGACTTCTCTCTCTCTCTCTCTCTCTCTCTCTCTCTCTCTCCCCTTTGTTTCTTTCTCTTTCTTCCCAACGAGCGTTAAATATTTAAAGGGAAAATAAGGAGAAATGGAGGGAGTGCGTGATTGGTGGGAATTGTGTACATGTGACTACACTGATCCGTCCCTAGTCTTTGTCCACGTGGAGTTTTAGGTGTACCCTCTGCTGAATTGAAAATAGAGTTTTTCTTTTTTTTAGGTAAATGAAAATTCACGTGTAATATGCTTATTCGAAAAGCACTTTTAAATGCTTTTAAAAGAAGGATAAAGAATATCTGCATTCCTACTTCTGATGCCCTCTGTTTGTATGATCACGGTTAAACAACGTAAATATTTTATATTACTATTTATTTTTATTTTATTATCTATATAAAAAAATAATATAAAATATTAACGTAACTTAACCATAATCACACAAAATAAGAGGGCATCGGAAATGAGAAGGCAGACAATTCTTGTCCTTATAAATTATTTTCTACTTATAATAAGCAATGTTTTTTTACAAAAGCAGTCTCAAACAAGCCTAGTTGTGCAAATGAATAAGTCTTTGGAATTTGTGACTCATACAAATTGTAGATGTGAATGAATATAAACTCACATCAAAACTAACCTCACCACGTGTTAGACTTGAGTGATTGAAGTTGAAAATCATATAGGGAATATTTTTGTTCACTATGGTCAAGTGAAGATGATGTTTGTTATTATATTTATTACCGTTAAATGAATTTGAATTCCGAAATCTGTTTAGTAAATAGACATAAATCTTAAAATTTAAATTTATAAATAAAATGATAAACATTACTTCAAATTATATATACATGCAGATGTATCAAGCCAGCTAATATTTTTTATTGGGAAGGGAATCCATACAAATAATAAGGTTCTACGTTAATACGATGCTTTATGCTCAATATCTTGTCTTCTTGGATAATGACTTATATGGAATTGGATTTTCAACAAAGCCAGTTATCGTATCATTTCATTTTGATAGGATAATAATATGAGTAAGTTTTAACACATGATATTATATTATTAAATCAGAATATTACGTGAACTATTTCATATAACTTATTCTTGTCTGCTTTGAGAATTTTATTGGAAATGCAGATTGAGGCTTAAGCTATTTTGTTTACATGTTTGATACTGAGGCAACATGATTATTGTAACTGTCTTTTTTTTTAATTTTTTTATTTTTAAAGGGACTTGTTGGTGATTTTGCCATGTTAGTCACTTTCTGGAGATCGAAAATATTGACAAAGGCATTTCAGCATTACATTGGTCATCATCATGTGATTCATCAATGCTAGAAATCAAATCCAAGACAAAATTATCGAGACTTCGCATGATACAAACATCAAAAATCCCAATCCCAATGTGTGGGATCAAATCTAATAGAAAATTTGAGAATACCATGGCTTTTAATTTCACATCTTCAATGAGACTTTCTAATTAATTTTGGGATCAATTCTAAATGAGGCTTGGGAAGTTCAACTATGTAAGTTCATCTTTTACTCTCTGCCTGAAATCTTAACATAACATCAAATCGGCTGATCATCACCAAAAAAAAAAAAAAAAACAAAACAAAAAAAAAATCAAATCGAAAACAAAACAAACAAATGAAACTATACACTCCAAGATAAACAAATAATTAACATAAAAAATGTACATTTGACCTTAATTATCCTCATCGTTATGTTCTTGATCACTTTCTTGGTGTTTGTTTTCTTGTTTGTGCTCGGCCTCTTGATTAATTTTGTTTTCTACTTCTACTCTCTTCATTCTTTGGTCCGGTAATGCGTTCGGATCAATGAAGGAGGATTGCCTGCTTTTTGGGCGATAAGCCGGAATCCTCCTCCCCTTAGCATCATAAATCACAGCTTCATCCTCATCAGGTACTTTACATTTCTCACCTAGTATGATCGTCTTCATCCAGATTGAGTCTTCCGGCTTCAACTTTCCGTTCTTTCGCTTGTTGTACTCTTCCTTAACCTTATCTTTTCGTGCCATCGACAAGCTTCGTGGCAATTTAATGCTCAAATTCGAGAAGAGCCTTCGCTCGGAAGCAGACTTTTTCAATTTAGGTTTCATGTCGAGGTTGCCGGAATAAAGCTGTCCTGAATAAAGTTGTCCTGAGTTCTTCATTCTTGGAGGCAAAGGCAGCTCTTTACTCATCATTGGATCCTCATTTTCTTGATCTCTTTCCAAATCTTGTTGAGGTGTTTTGTTCCCCGTCTCCGCCAATGCAGCTTCCGATGTTTGCACATTGCAAGCATCGGATTCCTCTGCTTCCTTAGAAGCAGGGGATTCAGAAGGGCGCGGAGAAGATTTTCTTCGAAAACTACAAAGAGCCGTGATTATGGCAAAGGTGGCGGCCATGGCAGCAGCAAAGAAAGACAAAGATAGCAACGGATGGATTAGCAGGTTTGTCTCATCTGTGGAAATTCTTCTTCCCATGAGGAGGACTCAAACATCAAAAACAAATTGGGAAATAAGGTTGCAAATTTGCAAAATGTTTTAAGTTCTTTCCATGTTTTTCTGTGGTTTTATCTTCTGCTTTTAGGCCCCTTTTGGTTTGAATCTTCGGTTCGAATTCAAAAGGGGTCCCTTCTTTTCCACAATGTTGTATGGTTTGATGTTTCTTTCCTGAGAAAACAACAATGGAGTTCCAGTAAGAAAGTCATTAGAAGGATACGAAACAGAATGCTTGAGTTTAGGAAATGAGAGGTTACAATGCATGGACACGGTGGTATCCCCTCGTATTCCCGTGTCATGTCGCGTTGTATTCTTTTGTGGTCATACAACAATTATTCTTATAAATTTAACATATCCTTATGTCATGTCGTATCTCCGTGTCCATATCCAAGCATCGTAAATAAGAGGAAAAGTAACTACACAATCATCTCGAAGGGCCTTTTAGTGAGTAAATTTATTGTAGGCAAATGTTTGATGTTCACTTCTAGTGGGGGAGGATGAGAAATTTTTGTTCCCATGTTTGAAAATGCTGAGATCGTATTTTTCAAACGAGCCCTAAGCTTAATGTGATTGCGGAAAATATAAAATTGTACATTCTTATCTTCCTAATGGTCCGTCTACATTCAAACACTATAAATAAAAACGAAGATATTTTTGTTGTTACTTTAAAAGGTACTAAACTCAAAAGTGCTTTATTTCATTTTGTTTTCACATCCAGTTGCCACTTGAGCTAACCCTAACAACTCACCATGTATGAAAGATTTGACATCAAAGCACCAACCAAACAAAGGTAGCAAATCAACTTTTTTTTTCCTTTTCCTTTTAGGCCAACCAATCAACTTAACTTTAAACTTTGATTGTCTTGCATTTGATTTATAATTCATGTCGACACACATGCATTCATAACAGAACAAAAGACAAATTGAAATTGTGCATCCACTATTCTTTATTGCTATGAAGTAAGGACTGTGAGACGGAAACGCTTTATGCGTGTAATTTCGTTTTGTAATTTTAACGAGTTACTTTTGTATATGTCAAATTAAAATTTTATGTATGTAAAAAGTATTGCTCAAACGAGTCAAGTTAGTGGATTCCAAAAAAAAAAAAAAAAAAAAAAAGAATCAAGTTAGTGAGTATTCATGTATATTGTATGTGATCATATTGTTATTTTTTTGGTATGTAATCAAAACTTATTTTTAATCAAAATAGTTCATGAGATTGCCATAACTTCTCACTTTGGTCTTGAGATTTAAACTCAATAGAAATAGTCCACCGTCAATCATTTTGCTCATTTTGAAAAATCTTTGTTATAGTGAAGGAACCACCCGTACAAGTGAAGGGGTTGATAAGACAAAAATACCCTCAATTTAACTGAGATTTTTCACGGAATGACCAAAATGATTGGCCGTGGACAATCTCAAGCAAGGCTGGATGGAAATAGGGACCAAGGTGGTCCCATCATCACTCGAGTCCGGAAACAATACATGTGAAGGTCTTTTGAGAACTTTGCACAACAAGCCCACCAAATGAATAAACTTCTACCAATTTTAAATAAGAGAGACTAAAGTAAAGAATTATGTCAACCTCAGAAACTATTTTGATTACAAAGCTGAAATAAATTAAAATTAAAGTTACTGTGCTTACATGTCATTCACGTCGCTACAAAAATATTGGCATACAACAAATACAAAACACGCGGTTGTCAAAATTAATCTCCATTAAAAAAGGGTTTAATTTAATTAACAATAAAAATATTGTTAAGTAGAAGTCAAAGCCCGCCAATATTTGGAGTATTAATTCACAGTCCCAGCTATTTGCCGAATCTACACTAATCTGTCTTCTCCCAAATCTTCACGAATATAATTCTAATTATTTTATTTTATTTGACGTAAAAAATAAGTTTTCAAATTAACTATTTCAATATTAAATTACA